GGCCAGAACTTTTCTTTTCATCCAGTTTTAAAAGCATGTGTAAAAGTCCCCGCTCACTTATTAACACATAGGAAATGGCGGGTGAAGAGTTCTCTAAAACAGGTAACACACCATCATCACAGGTAAAAATGGAGTGGAAATTCCCATTAAACGAGTTCGCGATTATTTATTCATTTTGCAAGTGAATATCATTAACTTCAAATACATCACATTGCTGATCTTTGGTGACACTTCCCGCCAAAATTTCCTTGGAGAGGCCGTGATGAATTTAGGTAGTGATTCTCTATAGCAATGTTGCTTATCAACAGATAGCTGGTTGTGAAGCTTGGATGAAAGAGAGAAACTTCTGCCTTTCACCTGGCAAAACACATTTTATCATTTTCATTTTGTTGTTTCACCTCTTTAGCTGCCTTTTCAATCTCGGTGTGTCCCAAGTAACTATGATTTTTTTTCTCTTCTCAACTATACGTGGTGCATACTTGTCAATGCAGTCATTATTATATACTTAAAGCGATCCCACAAATCCTCAACATCTACAACGCTGTTTGAAAAAGAATATGTAAAATGAAAGCATGTGTATAATGGAAACAACAGCTCTGGAAAAGTTCCGAACACTGGCAGAGTTACAAGTGTCTTTCCAGTTCATAATATTTATTGTTATTAAGACAGCCTCGTGATCCTATGTACCGGAAAATACATCATACACTTATTGACTACTTAAGTTTTAACTTGCAAAGAAAAGATCCAGAATTGATTCGGAATCACCTTATTTTCTGGTATATGTATCAACTAATTGTGTCAAGTTAAAAGAGAAGGCAATGTCAAGCATGTCTTCTCCTAAAGTGTCCTTATAATTATTGAGCGACATCACCCAATTAATGTTTGACAAGTTAAAATCTCCTAAAATAATAATACAGTCACTTGGTTTATGCTCGCTCATGTAGAGCTTTAGGGAATCAAAAACGTCAACAACAGAGCTAGGAGGCTCGTACAGAGCAACTATAATTTATGTAACATTTTCATGGTAGACCTTACAAAAAATGCATTCAACATCTACTAAATCGGGCATTTTTACCAGCTTGATGCTCTGCTTGAGTAGGATGGTGACACCGCTGCCCCTGCCTCCCCTGTCCTTTCTCAGCGCGTTGTGCCTGAGTGAAATGAACTCGCCATTATATATTTCTTAATTAACCATGTTTCTGTCAGAATAACAATATCTGGGTTATACAATGTAATAATTCCTTCTAACTCTGTACGCTTGTTTAACATGCTCCTACAATTTACATTAAGTATTCCAAAAGGGCTACGCTTGGGTTTAGACTGTCATTTATGAGGACCCGATTTCTGTGCCTTGTAACAGAATCCTTTTTTGAAATTCCAACCAAATAATGTCCCGTCAATGCCCAACTTATCATAAACCAGTCTTACTTTCATGTTTTTCTGCCTTTCCTTCTGAGAACTCTCCCATAAAAACCTTTGAGTATCCTGTACACGCCTAGAAAAGTCTTCAGATAGTTACTCGTTACCTTTTACAGTCGACTCCTCTTAAAGGGAACTCGAAGGAGATCCATAAAACTGTTCCCTTTATCAGAAGTTTCATTTAAGCAAAGTACACTTATTTAGTGAACCAAGACCTTTGTTCAAATTGCACAAACCTCACCTTACTCATGAGAATGAGTAGGGGAAAAAAGGGAGTTAAGAGTGGTTTGTTTGGCAAGCTTGAGTTGTTTTTTCACAAGATACGCACCCATGCCTGACAAACTAGCTAGAAATTCTGGACAAGCCTCATGCTCGAAATAGCGCTGCAAAAGTTCAACAGCCTCTTTAGCTGAATGGTCTGGTGGCATCATCACATTCATCGCTGAAAAATTGATCCCCATCTTGCACTTCAGCAATCATTTCTTAGACAGTCTCTTGACGACAGGTACGAACATTTTCATCAATTGATTCGTAGTTCTGCAGCATAAAAGGTGCAAAGGGCACGACCTGACTGAATAGTCTCATTTTCGGCATCAGCAGGGCTTTCTCCTTCATCAGGTACTGCTTCTTGCACTTGAAAAGCAGCATGGTGAAAGCATCTGTGTATATTTGTTGCCTTCACTTGCTCCCAGGCACGAGCCATCTCTATCTTTTCTATCTAGATGGCACGAGCCATCTCTATTTTTTTGCCATCTCTATCTTGGGCAGGCCGCTTGGATCGAGCTCCTGAAGAATTTGCAGCTTTTTTTTTTTCAAGCGAGAGGGCATGGTGCGACCGCTTTCTTTCCATCGGGCTAAAATACCGTGATCCACCGCACTTAGCCGCACAAACAGGCCTAACGCACAATTGACTCGCTGACTCTTTTCCCACCATATTTTTCCTTCCTCCATGCATAGCCTCCTAGATTTCCCTTGCCTGCCGGATGAGCAAAAATGCCCGTAATCTATGGCGGCGCTACCTATGTAGGAGTAAAGGTCTTTGTACTTGGCCTTTGAGATCAGCGATTTTGGCGTTAGCTAATTTCAGAGACTATGCCTTGTATTCAAGGGGTTGCCTGCTGAATGAGCGCAAAACGCCTGTCATCTATAACGACGGCGCTTACTTAAGGTTAATTATAATTACGTTTACACCTTTTTAAAACTTTTTACATTATTTTTATTTCATATAAGCTCCAAAAACGCAAAAACTTATTTGAAGACACCCCTACTTAAGTAGCGCCACCACCATAGTTCCGACAACGGCCGCTTCCCAAGTGACCGCCGATAATACGGCAGGCAAGGGAAATCTAGGAGGCTATGCTCCATGGCTCCCACAGCCACAAGCGAGAATGGCTACTGGATTGACTTGTCTCGATCTCAAGGTGTTGTGTTGCCATGGTTGTGAGACTACCTTTGGCATGAGCGAGTCTATGCTGTGTTTAGAGTTTGTGCCGTTTGACCATAGGTGACCAATAAGCACTGTTTGGATTAACCAATGATTTTTACTGCGCAACACATAGAAATCCAGCCATATGAGCCCGTTTAGTTCTATTAATGAGGCATTTTCGTTTAAGTGAGTTTCGTTTATTGGGAGTCCACTGTGATTTATGCGACGCTTTAAGCAGGGCACTCTCTTAGCGCTAGTCAAGAAATTCAAGAATGACTGGACGGGTTTTATTTTTGCTTTTTCTTTCAAGCCTGTGGCACCTTTTAATGCCGGTTACATTTATTCCTAGTTTTTCATATGATACTTCGTCTTTTACTTTCCGTTCCAAGTCTTGTGTTGTCTCAGATGGAGCTTCATGTAAGCCATAAATTATTAGGTTATTTCTCCTGCTTCTGTTTTTTAAATCTTCAGCACCTTCAATAACCTTACGGAATCGTTCCCCAAAGTGTGCTATTGATGATTCGATGCGATCAACCTTCGAGCTCGGCAAATTGAAGCCACTCAATCGACATTCAGTATGATCAGTCCTTTCTGTTGGTTTCGATGGGTTATTTGGCACTTCATTTCGCTTTACTTGTATTTCCTGTATAGTTGTAAGGATTTTACTTTGCCCGTTTAGTAGGAGTTTTTATAGGATGTTAATCTCTGATGGACCAGGATTTTCCTCTACGTCTCCGCAAACCAAAAAATCTCTGATAAGCGGACTAACTATGCTGACAAAAATGCTAGACACACAGTGCTATGCTATGCTATACACACAGTGGGCAGGGCAGCAGCAACAAAAATCGGTTATCTGACCGATAACCACGAGTTGACATGTATCTACTGACCTGTAGCATGAGGCAAAAAGGATTGCTCAGCATGTTGCCGGGCTCGCTGCTGCCTTGCTCACTGGTGAAGTACAGCTTGTCGGGTGCTTTTATAGCTGTCCGATGAGGCACGTGACTTGACCTCACTGTTTATGAAGTGATATCCCGGTCCGTGGCGTGTGGAAAACGTGGATCCATGATGCAGTGTTCACGAAGTGTTGATGGATGCCCGCCAGCATCGTGGACCACACCCCCCAACAACCTGCCATTTTTGATGACGAAAGTGCGAAAAATTTAAAGGTATACCCGACTGTCATTTCTCTTGCTCCCGCTCGATGAATTCATGTCGCACAGCATAACTGCTTGTGATGACAGAATTCCTTCTGTGCTGCCGGAAGGAGTCCACTGGATGAAAAGGTGTTGTTGTTTGGTTCGTTGTGCTGTGCGGGTCGCACATACTGTCAAGCCGGCTTATAACAAACCTGAGCCTGACGCGGCATCCGTTCGCTTTATCCCGAAGTTTGTATTAAATGAAACACAGCTTTTAAAAAAGTCTCAAGTTCATTTAAAATGGCAGGGTGCCATTGTGTGGCAGGGTGCCATTGGGAACCTTTGTGTATTTAATTGACGGGCACAAGTTTGCCATTAATATATAGCTGTTTTAGCTTCCGGCGCTGTATTTGTTCGTTACATTATGTATTATGAACCCGTGAAATCAAGTGCTAATTATAAGTGCTTTTTCTTGTTCCTTTCCTCCACATTATAAGTATATTTCATTCAGTGTTTTCAAGGAACATATTTGGGCGTACTCGCATGTTAGCATTTGGTTTTTGGGGGCATTTCTGTTTAGAGGAACTCCTGATAAGATTTAAATCTAAGTGAATTCGAATACGTCAACATTCATATATTTGGTGTGCTCTAATATTTGCACAAGTCTATTGCAGTATACTTATGACGGCACATTTGCATGCTGTGAACAGAGTTGCATATAATTTATTATGGTCGGATTGTTGGCGATTAGTTTTGCTCGCACATGCATTGGTGCCTGCCATCACTTGACTGGCTGATTCTGCTGCTGAAATTGTGAACTGAAATTGGTGAATGTGCTGGTCCTTGGCTTGTGCTCTTTGTGGCATTCGTGCCCCATGACCTCAAAGAGGGAGAGTTGAATAACTTATGGACGTGCACTTATAGAAGCCTGTAGTAAAGTTAATTCCAGACAGTGCCATATGTCCTGTGCTGGAACCTGTGCAAGGCATAATTTCTGTTCCGAAATGATTTCGCAGGGAGAAGCCGCTAACATTGTATGTGTTTGCATCACGGCAGAAAGTGATTGACCACTTCATGTACGAAACTACCAGTGGAAGCATGTGTGCCAACGACACCCTGGTTCATCTGTCTGGTGAGTGAAGCTTGCTTTGGAGTCTCGGGCCACCAGAGCGCTGCTTCTCTGATCTTGTAACGGCGCTAATTCTTTAAAGCAGGTGTGTATGCGCAGTAATACGGCTTATTTCATGCACATCACTTGTGCCCTTGATTCATATCTCTCTGTCGTAGGCTAGAAGAGCAGTGGTGTGGAAATCAGTCTGTCAGTTGACTGCATTACAGAATGTCATGGGTGAGACAGCCGTGGACATTTAAAAGTGCTTTCACTGGAGCTACTTGGTATGGCATTGTAACGATGCGCTGCATAGATGAATTAGACTTGTAAGGACCTTGCGCACTAACAACTCAATTGCTTGCGCTCGTCACATATGATATTGTCTCATTGATCTCCATAGTGAAGAGAATTTTGATCTGTTATCAAAGGAGTATACTTATTTGCCAAGCCTACCAAATTGTCCAGGAAACTCCGGAATTTTTATGGACTGGTAGGACGGGAACCGAAATCTCCCTAAAATGCACCATGTCTGGCGAAACCTTTTTCCTGGTCAGGCCTCATAGTGTCGGAGCTGCAGAAAAATTCACTCGAATTCTACTGCTTGACGTCAATTGACATGGTGAGCAACGAAGAGTCTATGAATCATAGCCAGTCAAGTGGTAAAGCAAAATTCAAGCTCCTAGTAGAGTAATGTACCTTTCTAGAAATTCACGCGTGCCCTCCTACGGCGGCTGCAAAGCATTATGGGAAACCGGAGCGCCAGCGAAGTGTCGTCTGCTGCGAAAGCGTTGGCTCACCCCGTTTCCCACAGCGAGCAAGCGTACGAACGCATCGTTGCGGGAATATCTCGCGTCATAACCCTGCTTCAATCTGCATTCACAAAAGAGGCACCACGCACAGCAATATACAGTCAAAATACACTAGTATCCTTGACTTGTTAATGCCCCACCGCGGTGGTCTAGTTGTTAAGGTACTCGGCAGCTGAACCGCAGGTTGCGGGATCGATTCCCGGCTGCGGCGGCTGCATTTCCGATGGAGGTGGAAATGTTGTAGGCCTGTGTGCTCAGATTTGTGTGCACGTTAAAGAACCCCAGGTGGTCGAAATTTTCGGAGCCTTCTACTACAGCGTCTCATAATCATGGCGTGGTTTTGGGATGTTAAACCCCACAAATCAATCAATCCTTGACTTAATAATGACTTGGGAAATTGCTCACGTACCCCGGAAAAGGCTCATTGAATTGGAAATTTTTCTCGGCTTTCGCGGCGAGTCCCCTGTGCTTTGTTGATTGTATTTTCGCTTAGCGGAACCTTTCGTCTTTTGTTTTATTCTCAGTGTGACCGTACAGCTTCATTATTAGTACTTTATGTCAGGGACTGTCCCTCTTAATACGCTTCCGCACGGTAAGCAGTGCAAGACCATGCACTTCGCAAATGATAATGTCGAAATTCGCCCTTATAAATGAGTTCAAGCCTCACTATTCTGTGCATATTTGAATACTAATTGCCTCTTTGAAATGCTGCGTGTAAGCAATTTTGCGCTTGGGACGCTGAGAGTAGTAAAAAGCAGCTAACATTACGTTCATAGAGTGGATACTTCGCATGAAGTATTTGCTTTCAAACAGCGTAAAACCTGCTGTCTCTGCGTAGTTCCTGTTTCCACGACTGTGAGTTGGAAATGAACTTAAGAATTTTGGACCTGACTGCGCAAAGGTCATGACAAGTTAACAATTGGAAGAAATGTACAACGGAAAGAGTGTCAGTGTGCATAATTCACACAATAGCCTATTTTACCATTTCATCTCTCATGATCTCTTGTTTCATTACAGTTTATAATTATGTTAACTTAGCAATTCGTCGTTTTTATACATCTGCCTCTCCAAGCTGCCCAAAACACACAACCATTCCTTTCACCTTTGCCAAAAAGTTTAAGGACAAAACATCTGAGGAACTCTCCTCAGGCATATTCAGAAGGAAACATTGTGCAGCATGAACATTCTTGCGGTGCTAATGTGCACTCACTATCTGGGCACAAATGGTTTAAGCCAAAAAAACGCTGCTGTGGAAGGCTGTTAATGGTCAGAATTACTTTAAAAGCAATGGGCAAAGCCTCATTCAGTGTGGGAAAGGTATAGACAGCCACAGCAGCGCTTGCATACGCTGACGATGTGAAAGAAACTGACGGCGAGTGTAGCTTTTGTATCGATAATCATGAAACTACAACTAGCACTCTTTGCCTTGACACAGAGAAAAAAAAGAGACAGAGCGAGAGATGCGCGAAGCAAAAATAGGTGAGGCCTCTAGGTTTATGGTCAATCAAAAGCAGATGCGATTGAACATAACCATGCAGTAAACAGTAAAATCAACATTACCTAACATCACAAAAAAAAAAAACTCGCAGGGTTTCTTGTGCATTGACCCAAGGTGACCTGAAGGCGACAGCCGTCTCTCTTTTTGTTCAGTCAATTTACTGGTACTCCCCCCCCCCCCCCCCCGCGATTGTTTTCTGCACATAAAGTGGCTTTGCACTGATTTAGGACTGGAGGCATTCCAAACTTTCAGCACCTGACCTGGTTCGGCTCGGACTCCGTGATTGGTAGGCCGATCACACAGAAAGCAGTCCAAAGAGACGATGTATTTTCATGACGTCATCATGGCACCCTCATCATGATCTTACACATTCTGGTGATCCGTGATGTCATGATGACGTCGTGTGGTGACGCCATCACGCAATGATTTTTGCATCAGTCCTGTTGACGCCGACACCGCGGGACGCCAAAGCTTCCAACGGTCAGTGTTTGTTTTTAAGCGGAAACCTTAAATGCCTCATAAAACGTGAAACTCAACCGTTTGCGTCCCACGTCAGCGACGTCGAGTGATCAAAAAGAACCACTGCGTGATGACAACATATATGACATCAGACATCGCCAAAAATTGTGACGTCATCAAAACATCACGTGAATTCATGTGATCACGCCATCGCATGACATCCGAGCTTGGTGCAATGTGATCTTACCATAGAGGCAATGCAAAATCAGTTTTGCACTGCCTCCCTTTTTGGAGGCATTCCAAACCTCGTTAAGTACAGCAAGTTTTCAACGGGTGGTGTGGATGGTGGCGGGCTGAGGCGTCGGCCAGGGGGTGCAAAAGGAGCACTGGCCTTCTTCAAGCCACAGCGGCATCTGCCCACGCCCAAGCTACACCAGTGCTTTCCCCCAGTCGTGACTCAACACGGGTTCGCACCCACGGTAAAACCCTGCTGACAGTCATAGACTGACTGGGTAGGTGATATCAGTACATCGACTGAGAAGAAAAAGAAGATAGCCTTCTCCATCAAATCATCTTAGGGGGATGAATAGGCGACCCTGCGAGTTTTTAACGCGGTGTCTAAGCCTCTCTCCTTAATAAGTTCGCGTAGTTAATTACAGGGTAAGCTGCAAGTGTAGGATCCCAGCCTCGTAATCATAGTGAGGACACAGATAACAAAAGTCAAGCTTAGCTACAGCACCACAAACATCGAAGCCATGAAGTAGCACCAATCAATGAATGAATAATATGTGTTGGGGGCTTAACACCCCAATATCACCATGCAATTATGAGAGACACTGTAGTGGAGGGCTCCAGAAATTTAAACACATGGACCTAAAGCATTTCCGCCGCCATCGAAAATGCGGCCGCCAAGGCCGGGACTCAACCCCGCGACCTGCGGGCTAGCAGCCGAGTGCCTTAGCCACTAGACCACCGTGGCGGGTAAGCAATGAATGAAACGTCCAGTGACGTATTATCACATCCCAAAACTGAGCAAGTGTGTCCGCCGCTTTCTTTATTTGGCATGTTCAGTGATGATTACAGTTATTTGCGACGAACAACACAGTCTAGTATGCATGAATGAAAGTCAGAGTGATAATAAGAAGCGTTTTTTCACAATAGCAGCTCCTTACGCCAGCCAAAACCACTCGCGATGTGCGATGAAAGCGGGAAAGCGTCGTCTGCTCTGATCGCCGGGGCTCCGCTCTCCCATAATGCCCCAGCGCTGATCCACCAGAGGAAGGCGTGGCGCTGCGATGTCTAGAAAGGTTCATTAAGCGAATGCAGCACCGTTGTTGCTTTCATCTATGCACCAGGAGATTGCCTACTCAGCTGCCTGGAGTAGTCCTAGCATGGTGCTGGGGTGAGATTCTCCCAACAGTTTCTCCCACATTTGCCAGCTTTTGCTGCAGGCAGCACTTGGCCACCTTCATGTGCTCATCAGGAATTTTTTTTGTTGGCTTCAGCACGTGGGTGCATGGTGTAGTGAGTCGTTATAACCATGGCACTTTGTAAACAAGGCAAGAAGTATCTTCAAGTCTTTTTAAGGCAGTATACCGCAGAGTTTGGCTGTATTGTGATGTCATGGAAAGGCGAGCATTAATGCATCATTCAAGAAGCTCTCAAGTTGCTGATAATGTAATTTGTGATGTTGCGAGCTTTTGTAATTCCTCCAGATATGCTAAAAGAGGAGTGGCCTGATCCACAGTGAAATGCCATCTCCCAGCTTAGAAGCTCAGACGGTCTTCAGAAATTTGTGTGTATCTCGGTGGTAGTGGTTGGAGCCTTCTCTATACCACACAGCAACGCTGGATACGAGAGATACTTCACCTTAGTAAAAGAAAATCGTGCAGTGGAACCCAGATTATGACTTTCAAGGGACTACACAAAACCGCTGTATAGCCCGGGCATTGTATAATTGAAAAACTGAGAATACAGGCAGTGGCACTCAGCCTTGCACAAAAAAACGAGTCCACAACATGACCATGTGCTGCTTCTACATGGAAGGTAGATTAAATTATTCTTGCCAATGGCAGCGTTACATAGTTCAGGCAGGTGTGAGAGAACCTTTATTCTCAACTTGAAGAAAACCTATTCTAACACGCATTTTTCTCCCAATAAATTGAGTCCGAAAATTGTCTGCGCATGACCAAAAAAAAAAAACGGGTTGCCAACTGCCTTCCGTCAGGAAGGCTAGACACTGTGTCATCATCATC